CGGTGTGCGGCGCTCCGAGCGGGGTCATCTGGCAGTCTCCGGCCACCTAAATTAGGACCCGGAGACTGCCAGATGACCCCGCTCGGAGCGCCGCACACCGGAGCAGCAGTGACGCGACGCTCGGCGAGGTAAGTAAGAAGACGCGCTGGCGCTGACTCGAGTATAAGCCGAGGGGGGCACTTTTCACCCAAAAAAATGGGCTGAAAATCTCGGCTTATACTCGAGTATATACGGTATTCATTAAAGGACAACACAAGGTGTATGTCATGACAAACTATGACATCATTTGTATCAGTTTAGTCTAAGCTACTGGAAGATGCATTTTCATTGGCTGCTGTACAATATTGCTTTACCCCAGATCATTAAATATTGCCAAAACAATATTATTTATTTTACTTGCAAAGAGCAGTGATAATGTGCCAACAGCAATAACACATGGCAGTAATACTGAACGTGGTCCATTAGTCCTTGCCTTACTAAGCACACCTGACAGATTTCTATGGAACACTTTTTGACATAGCAGATAAGAATTCTGCAGAAAATGAAGAGTGTTTTCTTGTAACTTCAGAGATATAATTTAATAATCCTGTGGGCATACATTTTTCAGGAATGGCATTTCTTTAATTGTAACACTGGTTGCTGTGTGTTACATGTAAAATGAAACAAAAAAAATCATAATAGACCAATTATACTATAAAATGTATAGTATATCAACTGGTATAAGTAATAAAAGTTGCCTTTCCCTTTCCTTAGAACTGTTAATATTGTTCAATAAAATGAAAGCTTTTAATCTCCAACTGTCAATTACCTGTTCACGTATGAATCTAAATGGGGGGTTCAGAAGCAACACAGCAGTTCATTTTAAATACACTTCAATAGATGATGTCAAAGTATGAATTTTGTATTCTAAATAAGTTACAATATAAAATCAAGTTGCTCACTATACTCAAACGTTAATAATAAGGTCTATTGTGCTAAAAAGGTATTACATGAGGAATATCCAAGATGTAAGTTCAAGTAAACATTTGCTTTAAAAAGTACTGTGCTTGGCAGTTCACAAATTTTGGATAAGAACCAAATGACGTACGTTTCACCTGCTGTAAATGTTTTGAGATAAAACAACATAGCTAGAAGTATAGCTGACACATTCATACGTATAAATGATCAAAAGCTGTCCAAATGATTTTAAGTTGCACAACTGATACATAACTTTACAGCTCTGCCAGTTTCTTCCTTAGCAATCAGTTAAAAGATGTCATGATATCATGTGAAAAATGCAGCAGAATCAAAAACTTGTGCAACTTAATGATCCCCATGTACAGGTGAAACTCGAATAATTAGAATATCGTGCAAAAGTAATTGCAGTAAGTGCTGCAAAAGGGGCTCAAACCAAGTACTGAGTACATATGCATGCTTGTACTTTTCAGAGGTCCGATATTGTTCTATGTACAATCCTTGTTTTATTGATTGCATGTAGTAATCTACTTTTTTGAGGTTGTGGATTTGGGGTTCTTGGGGTTTTCATGAGCTGTAAGCCATAATCATCACAATTATGACAAATCACGGCTTGAATTATCTTGCTTTGCATGTAATGAGTCTATCTCATATATTAGTTTCACCTTTTAAGTTGCATTAGTGAAATAAATGAACTTTGCACACTACTCTAATTATTCGAGTTTCACCTGTATATTCAAAGAGTAAACATGCAACAGACAGCTGTTTTCCAAACCCTGACTGATGCAGAACATGTATTTGTGTTGAGATTCTGATACACCAATTGACATAAAGTATTTTTTGAAACAGTATATTCCAAAAACCCATCCTGTAAAAAGCCCTGAATCCAAGGCTTCCAGTGGGTTTCCAGCATGTAGCAGGGACCTGTGCTAATTGCATCTTTTGGAACTTAGGAATTTAGATCTTTTCAGGAATTTAGGTAATTGATAAAT